TAACAACCTGTAATTATGGCATTAGATTAGCCATTCTGAAAGTCTTTCAATGAATGGACTAGGGATTGCTGTGATCCTAAATAACATATAATAATTAGCATTGGCAACAATTATAGCATTAAAGTTGGAGACGGCATCATCCTAGAGAGGATTTCAAGACAGGGCGCATAAATAAAAATGTGCCACAATGACTTAAAATCTAACAAAAAACACACTAGCCTCTCCACATTTGTAGGTTTAACTTTTGTGGAGAGGCGATAATTTGCATTTATGTATTGATTTACCATATTTATTTACCGCCTTTCTCAGCCTGATGGCGAACCAAGGCGGTTTACATTCGGCACAATTCGAGGCCCCCCCAACGTATAAAATACAATTAAAACATTAACATACAAAATATAGGTTTACAAAAAGTTATTCAAAACATAAATCCTTAGCATCTCCTAACTGAAATCACTATTCAATTGCATTGTCAAACTTTAAAAAAGCCAAGGCAATTATTATAGCCTGCATCAATAGAAGTATAGTGCATAGATCAGTGGTTCCCAACCAATGGTCCGTGGACCACCAGTGGTCCGCAAGAACTAAAATATGGTCCATGGCCTCACCATTACTACACCGTTGCAACGAGAGCAACTGGTTTTCTGTGCGTGAGCAGATGGCAACTACTGGATGACATATGTTCTGTATCAGAAACTAGAGCTGATATGGTCTATCCAATGCAATTTTCTGAATCAGCACCCCAAATAACGAAACTGAATCTAAAGTTGACCAGAAACTGATTCATAACCCTTTTGGTACTAATGTTGGAGAGTGGTCTCTGGTCAAAGTGGCCCTGGTCAAGTGGTCCCTGGTCAAAAAAGGTTGGGAACCACTGGCTTAGATGAAGGGAAGTCCCATTCTATACCACTTTAATAATATGGAATACCATACTTGTCCAGTCCAGGGCACCACAATTCGAAAAGGATAAGGATAATGTAATAGAATGCTTTATTTATAGCCCACCCTATCTCCCCGAAGGGACTTGGGAACATGTCCAGAGAAGGGCCACCAAAATGGTCAAAGACTGAGAAACCGCGAACCCCTGTGAGGAGCATCTTAGAGAACTGGGTGTTTTTAGTTTGAAGAAGACAAGGTGAAGGAGTGGCATGATAATAATCATGTTTAAAGATCAGAAAAGATGTAATAATGTGGAGGGAGCCAGAAACTAGAACATGGAACAATGGATTCAAATTACAGGATAAGAGATTCCACCAACATTAGGAACAAGTATTGGCCAAGAGTGCTTTCATGGCATTTTATTGCTTGGCAGAATGGGACAGGACTGGATAGCCCTGGGAGAACTCTTCTAATTTAGGATCCTATTATTATATGACTATAACCATGACCATGTGCACAGCTAAAGCACTATTACAAAATTCCCATCACCTTATGAACCCTGCTCCCTGAGACATTCTGTCTTGTCTAGCGTATCTTTTCTTTCCTCCTGGATGCTGGGAAAGGGTGGTGGCACCAATGTACAATCTGGATAGCAAATTTGGCTGATTTGAACCCAATTCTGCTCACCAGACCATCTCAATGCTACAGGATACTCCGGATTTTCCAGGAAAATCCAGAGCATTCCCTGATTTTGTCCAAAGGAGGTGAAAGTAAGTTTAAACATTTATTTATTTTATTTATTTCGTGTACTTCTACCCCGCCCTTCTCAACCCCCGAGGGGGGACTCAGGGCAGCTTACAAAAAAGACACAATTTGATGCCTACACAGTAATACAGATAAAAATAAACAGCAATTAAAACAGTTATAACAGTTAAAAGAATCAATATATATCACAGTTAAACAACAACAACATCATCATCATCAACAACAACAACAACCCTGCCACATTCTCCAGAGGCCACTGTGCATCATGTGAACAGCCAGCAGTCCATTTGGGATAAGCCTGGATTTGAGGGCTTGTACCGACAAATAAATAAATAAATAAATAAAACTTTATTTATACCCCGCTACCATCTCCCAAGGGACTTGGTGCGGCTTACATGAGGCCGAGCCCACAATACATCAATACAAGCTGTTCTGGAACGGCTGTTCCAAGGGCTCCAATTTTGTGCTTTGCACTGAGTGTTTGTTCATAGTCCTAAGTTTCAGGGACTTTGCAGATAGGTGGCTTCCATTGGCTGCATTCATAGGGCAAGCCACCTGTCAATAATAGTTAGGATCCCTGGTCCTGCCCCTCTCTGGGTTTTTTGGAGGGAAGGGGCCATTTTTCAGTTAGTCTCAGCAAAGGAAGTCAATGCAGAGGATGTATACAGATGTCCTCCTATGCAAAGGCTTTGTCCCTTAAGACTTTCTGCGGGAGAACAGTCTTAAGAGCCTCTAAAGATTCCCAAAGGTTCTGGGGAAACAGCCTTACAGCCCTGAGGAATTCCAGAGGGAATAACAGCTCTAACCATCAAAGCAGCTAAGTGATTACAGGCCTGTTGGTACGTCTACTCGGTTCTGAGACGCAGTTCAGCCGGTAGTGGATTCAAATCAGTCAGGTTTAGGTTCACAGTAGCCTGGGAGGAGCTAGAAAGGGGAATTTTCCTTTGAACAACGTTTTTGAAGATAGTGCCTGTTCCCTGTGAACAAGATTGCAAGAGCTAAGAGACTGTTTAGAAAACTTTACAATTCCTGTTTGTTCATCAATAAATGACTGTTATATTTAAGCTCAAGCCTCATAAAGACTGTTTAATAAGGGAAATTTCTCTAAAGGTTTCTTTTCGGGCCTCCTGGCTTCCCGCTGGATCCAAGCCATACATCCTCTCTTAAAGGCACTTCATTTCAGGTCCAGCAGCGACAGAACACAAGCAATAACAATTACAATACAAAGCAAAATACAAATACTAATACGAAGCAATTAAAATAAATCTCATACACAAATAGCATAAACATTGAACAGTGGCAACAAAACTCATATAAAAACTATGGCTGGGCCAAATGTAATTAAGTTAAAAAAATAATGCTAGGCATGAACAAGATAGAGGAGGTGGGGCGTTGGGGGAACATACAAGCAGTCCTAAATCAGTATAAAGTGCTTTTGGAGGACATAATGCTAAGGGTTCATTATTCTGGGAAGGCACACTGGAACAGCCACGTCTTCAAGCTCCTCCTAAAGACTGCCAGAGCTGGGGCATGCCTGATATCCTTAGAAAGTGAGTTCCAGAGTTGAGGGGCCACCACCGAGAACGCCCTCTCTCTCATCCCCACCAATCGCGCTTGCGATGCAGGTGGGAGCGCGAGTAGGGTCTCTCCAGATGATCGAAGAGATTGTGTGGGTTCGTACACAGAAATCAGGCTAAATGCGAATTTCAACATTCTAATTTCTACCCAAGAGGTCACTCTTCACCTTCAGAATCCAGATCAACAGTTCATAGAATCATAGAATCAAAGAGTTTGAAGAGACCTCATGGGCCATCCAGTCCAACCCCCTGCCAAGAAGCAGGAATATTGCATTCAAATCACCCCTGACAGATGGCCATCCAGCCTCTGTTTAAAAGCTTCCAAAGAAGGAGCCTCCGCCACACTCCGGGGCAGAGAGTTCCACTGCTGAATGGCTCTCACAGTCAGGAAGTTCTTCCTAATGTTCAGATGGAATCTCCTTTCTTGTAGTTTGAAGCCATTGTTCCGCGTCCTAGTCTCTTGCTCCCTCCTCCCTGTGGCTTCCTCTCACATATGTGTACATGGCTATCATATCTCCTCTCAGCCTTCTCTTCTTTAGGCTAAACATGCCCAGCTCCTTAAGCCACTCCTCATAGGGCTTGTTCTCCAGACCCTTGATCATTTTAGTCGCCCTCCTCTGGACACATTCCAGCTTGTCAATATCTCTCTTGAATTGTGGTGCCCAGAATTGAAGAGAGATATTGACAAGCTGGAATGTGTCCAGTTTATACTCCCCCCCCCCAGGATACATTGAATCAATGGGATTGGCCTACATCTTGACTCACCATTCAGAAATTGACTAAATAGGTCTGCTCTAGTAGGATTCCAAGGCCTACTTAGGTATGTCACAAAAAGTATGCAGTAGAAAATTAGTCAGCAATAGTTGTGGTTGTTGTGTACCTTCAAGTTATTTCCGACTTATGGAGATGTTAAGGTGACCCTATCACTGAGTTTTCTTAAGAGCGTGTGAATTGCCCAAGACAGAACTCAGGCACTACCCTTCCCTTCAAAGAATGCCGACCCATGGAATGAATTTTTCCTTCAGTCCTCAAACTTCTAGCCTGCTGTAAATTTTGAAACTTCATCTTAGCATTTCAAAAGACATCTAGAAAGACAGCATTTAGAAAAACAAATACTCAAAAGATCCACAATACAGTAAAATTAGCAACAAACAGCCAACAGAATTAACAGAACAAATAATGTCGAAGGCTTTCATGGTTGGAATCACTGGGTTGTTGTAGGTTTTTTTCGGGCTATATGGCCATGGTCTAGAGGCATTCTCTCCTCTCAGGATGCTTGCCATAGATGCAGGCGAAACGTCAGGAGAGAGTGCCTCTAGACCATGGCCATATAGCCTGAAAAAACCTACAACAACCCAGAACAAATAATAATAATAATAATAATAATAATAATAATAATAATAATAACTTTATTTATCTTCCACTCTATCTCCCTAAAGGGATTCAGTAGGCATACACAAGTGATATACGTCAATGGGAACCTCTTCAGGAAGCTTGTTAGCAGACAGTCTAAAGCAGTGTTTCTCAAACTTTGCTTCTCCAGGTGCTTTGGACTTCAGTTCCCAGAAATCCCAGCCAGTTTACCAGCTGTTGGGAATGGTGGGAGATGAAGTCCAAAACATCTGGAGGAGCACAGTTTGCGAACCTCTGGTCTAAAGACAAAATCTAAAGTCAGACTAAAGATGAAATCAAACATTATGCCCGTGAAATTGCAAAATAACACAGCCAAACCTCTCACGTGGATTTATTTCTACACCCACATTTTATGAAGACTTTTTTAAAATGAGGTTTTCTTTTCCCTTCTGAGATCCTGAGATCAGAATAAAGAGATGCAAAATATTACCAACTTTAAATTTCTTTAATCTGAGCATCTCAGGCGATACCTGAACTGGATATCGCGGGAAGGACTGGCAGCCCCAAAGCCGCAGCGCATTTCGTCTGTGGGCGGCATGTCCTCTTCGGCATTCACCAGCTCCATATCAAAGTAGACAAGCATCAAGATCACAAACATCTTCATTTCACTGACAGCAAAATAGCGCCCGGGGCACATGGTAGATCCACCCCCAAATGGCATAATGTAATGTTTCAGCAGCTTCCCGTTCTTATAGAATTCCTTTTTGGTGCCATCCGGGTTGATGAATCTGTCGTATTTGAACGTCTGAGGCTCAGGGTAGATTTCTGGATCCATATGCAATCCAATGTAGGGAAAAAGGAACAGAGTATCCCCCTTCCGTAATGTATATTCTTTGCCATCTCCCATCTTGATATCTATGTCTTCCATGACACCTCTGATTATGAAAACACTTCCTTTCAAGCGCAGCGTTTCCTGTATCGCGCTGTCCAGAAGAGGGGTCTTTATTTTATCCAAGGACAAACTGAGGAAGGGGTTTCCTGGCTTCACCTCCTGGCCCGTCTCCTTGAGGACTCTGTCCAATTCTTCCCTCACTGCCTTCATTGCTTCTGGGTGTTTTAAGAGGAACAAAATAATCCAGAACGTTGCTGGACCAGTGTTAGCTTGAGACGCCCAGAGAAGCAGAAGCAGGAACTGAGTCCGCATCTTTTCCGTCATTCCAATGTTAACCATCTCCCGATCGTTTTCAACCACCCAACTGTTGATGTCATCCCTCTGATACAGCTTATCTACTGAAAGGATGTCCCACAAGACGCTCTGTAATTTCTGTGTCTCTATCTTTCCTGCAGGATCCAGCAGTTTGACAGCAAGTTGCGGGAAATAATGGTCAAATTTATGAAAGATTTCAAATGTCTCTGCACATTGTGCTAGATTGGTTTCTACTGAATTTTCTTTGCTTCCTCTTTCTTTGTCTGACTTGGTGCCGAATAGAGAAAGAAAACCTGCTTGAAAAATAGTTTTGTAGCTGAAATGGAAGAGTCCAGCTTGGTGCCAAGTTTTTTCTCCATTCCCTGGGCCATGGCCTTTAAGCATTGAAATTTGCAATTTTTCCATCATCACTTGGTTCAGTTCGTTTAGATGCTGCCCATTCAGAAACTTCTTGCTAATTGTTTGCACAGCCTGATGATGAACTTGTGTGGGCTGGAAACCAAATGCGTTATGAACCACCGTTGACGAAAATTGTTCAAAATCCAGTTTTTCTTTGGGTTCCTTCATTAAGGGTTCGTGCGTATGTGGATCTGCCACAAAATTTATATAATTGCCACCAACCAAGACGGTGAAAATGTCTCCATGTTTCTTCCGCATCCTTTCCAAAAACTCCGCAGGGCTCTTCCTGAATTGTATTGCATATCCGAGCCAGGGAATGAAGCCTTTGTCCAGTGGTGGTTCTTTGGGTCTCCGCCTGCGAAATGCTCCTATTGTGTGAAGGCCACCAAGAATGATGGCCAAAAGGGAGGCGAGGAAAGCAGAAAGCACCGTCTCCCAGAAATTCATGACTGCTGGAGCCAAGGAGCACTGCAAATAATAAGTAGGTCTCCTGGTCTAGTTATACAGCACCCAATGAAGGTGCACATCTGGAGAGGACTTCCTCATTCCACCTGTGAGCTGGCAAGAGCAGTTGTGGTTTTCCTGTGCCCTCTGTTGTTAATAACATTCCGTACTCATCAGTCCCTCCTAGGCGATTATTATGTTTTATGCTATGACTCTTCGTGTCTTCCCTGTGAACCTGTCATTGCTTAGAACTTATACATATTTATAGGAATCTCATAATTCCTGAAAGAAATGACTGCACTAAAATAAGCGAAAGAAGAGGAGAGGAAGAGAGAATGGCAAGTGATTTCTGCTGTGGCTTCCATTGGTACAGGAAAAGACACATCCAAAATCTTATTCTGCAGGGCTTCTCTACATGAATGAGGAACTCTGTTCAAGGAGCTCCACTGGCTCTCATTCATGCATCACCCAATTCAAGGGGCAGGTTCTTACCTTCAAATCCCTGAATGGTTTGGGACCCGCCTACCTGCATGACCGCATCTCTGTATACGAACCCACACGATCTCTTCGTTCATCTGGAGAGGCCCTGCTCTCGATCCCACCAGCATCACAGGCGCGGTTGGTGGGGACGAGAGAGAGGGCCTTTTCGGTGGTGGCCCCTCGACTCTGGAACTCACTCCCAAGGACATCAGGCAGGCCCCAACTCTGGCAGTCTTCAGGAGGAGCTTGAAGACGTGGTTGTTCCAGCGTGCCTTCCCGGAATAATGATCCCTTAGCACTTTGTCCCTCTAAAGCACTTTACATTTTTAGGTCTGCTCGTATGTCGTTCCACAAATGCCACTATCACCTTTTCGTCCATGTTTCAGCACTATTTCCAATTTTAATTTTACATTTGGCCTTCCCACAGTTTTTATTTGTATGTTGTCTTATTGATAATGTTATATGTTTATGTTTTATTTTAATTGCTTGTATTGTTCTGATTATTGCTTGTATTGTTGTGTTCGGGCTCAGCCTCATGTAAGCCGCACCGAGTCCCTTGGGGAGATGGTAGCGGGGTACAAATAAAGTGTTGTTGTTGTTGTTGTTGTTATTATTATTATTATTACTCTGGGCTCACCTGGAATAATAGGCTGGCCATCTTGGGACCTCATCGGACAGACTTATGGCTCCGTTTCCATGTGTTTTGGAAACTGATTCTCATGAGAGTTCCATGAAAGCCATCACATGACCTTAGAGCACTTCCAGTGTGGGACTCCATGGGGCTCCGTTTCCACAGCCCTGATCTAGAACACTGATCTGGTTGAAAGCACCTTTCCAGGGTTGCAGACAAATCAAAGTCTTTTCAATTACTAGCGACTTCATCCTTTCTTTAATGGCACCTCTGGTGGTGCAATGGGTTAAACCCTTGTGCCAGCAGGACTGAAGTCGGAGGTTCAAATCCACTGAGAGCATGGATGAGCTCCCTCTGTCAGCTCCAGCTCCCAATGCGGGGACATGAGAGAAGCCTCTCACAAAGATGTAAAACATCAAAACATATGGGCATCCCCTAGGCAACATCCTTGCAGACAAGCCAGAGGTTTGTCTTCAGGAGTTGATTGTTACTCTACTTCAAACCTGAGCAACTGGGGTGTAACGAAATGTCTAATTATAATGTGTGTTTTAAATATGTTTATCAATGTTATGATATAAGTGCAAGCTAGCTGATGTGGCCTGAAGCTCAGGCATTGCCATTGCGATGCAGACTCCCTTACTTACTTACTTAGGTGATCCTTCGTAGTCCGAGGAGGATGGTCCTCCAAGTGTAGTATGGGTCACCAAACTTTAATAGGCTTAGTATCGGACGCACCAAACCCCCCAAGCAGGTTTTGTGCCTTGTAAACGCTGGATGTTGAATTCATGAGCAGATTCGGTACTTGCCTGCTGCTGTCTACATATAACTTTACCCAAACTTACTTACTTACTACTTACCTAGGCGATCCCTCATAGTCTGAGGATGATGGTCCTCCAAGTGTACTATCCAGGCGGTGGGTCTGTAGGTGACTGTGGAGCCCTATTCTTGATCTGCATCTTTTCCCGCAGTGAGGGCATCGGTTTCCAGGTGGAAGATGGTCCGCGGTCGGGGTTGGCTTGACACGCCTTCCTCTTGGCACATTTCTCTCTTTCGCCCTCCATTCGTGCCTCTTCAAATTCTGCAGCACTGCTGGTCACAGCTGACCTCCAACTGGAGCGCTCAAGGGCCAGGGCTTCCCAGTTCTCAGTGTCTATGCCAGAGTTTTTAAGGTTGGCTTTGAGCCCATCTTTAAATCTCTTTTCCTGTCCTCCAACATTCCGTTTTCCGTTCTTGAGTTTGGAATAGAGCAACTGCTTTGGGAGATGGTGACCGCGCATCCGGACAACATGGCCAGTCCAGTGGAGTTGATGTTGGAGGACCATCGCTTCAATGCTGGTGGTCTTTGCTTCTTCCAGCAGGCTGACATTTGTCCGCTTGTCATCCCAAGAGAGTTGCAGGATTTTCCAGAGGCAGCGCTGATGGAGTCGTTCCAGGAGTTAGGAAGACTTGGCTGTTCCAGTATGCCTTCAATGAATGAAAGAACAATAATTCCCTGATCTGACCAATTCTTGCTAAATGCCCTTACAAGCACTTTCTTTTATCCGTTAGTGCAATCAAATCCTGCTAATCCCCCAGATCCCCTGTCCAGATGCATCAAACTGTTGTCTCACCCAATGTTTTAATTTTTAATCTATTGGATGTGGCCCTGCCCACTAAGATTTTCTTGTCTTAAATGTTGCGATTTTATATTGTTGATTTACCATTTATAATGGTTTTGTATTGTATTTTAATTCTTTATATTTTATTGCTGTGTTTTGTTGTATATTGATGCATTGCATTGTTGGGCTTGGCCTCATGTAAGCCGCTTTGAGTCCCCTTGGGGAGATGGTGGCGGGGTATAAATAAATTGTATTGTCGAAGGCTTTCATGGCCGGAATCACTGGGTTGTTGTAGGTTTTTTCGGGCTATATGGCCATGTTCTAGAGGCATTTCTCCTGACGTTTCACCTGCATCTATGGCAAGAATCCTCAGAGGTAGTGAGGTCTGTTGGAATTAGGACAATGGGTTTATATATCTGTGGAATGACCAGGGTGGGACAAAGGACCCTTGTCTGCTGGAGCTAGGTGTGAATGTTTTGACTGACCACCTTGATTGGCATTTAATGGCTTGGAAGCTTTGTTGAGAGTGTCCACGAGAAGCATGTGGACAATTTCAACAGAAAGGAGGAAACCATGAAAATGAACAAAATCTGGCTACCAGTATTAAAAAAAACTCTAAAATTACAATAGCATAACAACAGAGAGTAAACAATCAGGCACATCTAATCACCTCTCAACAAAAGATTCTCCCCAGGCACTTCCAAGCCATCAAATGCTAATCAAGGTGGTCAGTTGAAACATTCACACCTAGCTCCAGCAGACAAAAGTCCTTTGTCCCACCCTGGTCATTCCACAGATATATAAACCCATTTTCCTACTTCCAACGGACCTCACTACCTCTGAGGATGCTTGCCATAGATGCAGGCGAAACGTCAGGAGAAAATGCCTCTAGAACATGGCCATATAGCCCGAAAAAACCTACAACAACCTATATTCAAAGCATCTATGGCAAGCATCAAAGCGTTTGCATCAGCAGCTCATGCCGACCCGGGGCTTCGAACTTGCAACCTTTTGGTTAACAGATCTTATAATTGCTGGTGATTTACCAGCTGTGCTAAACCTCCGGCCTTTAATTCCAATTTGTCCAGGATGTCATCTGGACAGCGAAAGATTTTGCATTAAAAGGGCTGTCTAGATCCGCGCTGAGCTTGAACAATGCAAGGCAGAAGTGTCCAGGTGAGTAAGCTAGGCTCTTAAATGCTATGAATAAGACTCTTGAAGAAGAACTGAGAGTGAAGTTTGGCATCTGGTGGAGAAAATCAGTCATTACAATTAATTAGAAAAATCTCTGGGACGGGTTTGTTCTGCTGAAGCTATTATGAAGACATACTTGCGAGAAGAATGGATTCGGAACTAAGATGAAAAGGGAACGCTACAGAAACACGATGAGAAACGTAAGCCTTCCAGATACAAATGGCTCAACTAGAGCCTAATTTGGAGAAAGCAATGTCAACTGAATTTAAAGAAGATCTCAAAATGGAGCTAAGAACTGAAACAATCTATGGTTCAGATGACATCGGAAAATAATGATTGGATAGAATACAAGACTCTAGATTAGACATACTATGAGAAATGCAAGTAGACATTGTGTATCTATATAAATAAAAATGCAATGTTCGTTTGTGGGATTAACAGAACTCAAAAACCACTGGACGATTGACACCAAATTTGGACACAAGACACCTACTAAACCAAGGAATGATCATCACTCAAAAATTGATTTTGTCATTCTGCATGATGAGGAAAAGAGAGAAAGAAAAGGCTGACAGAAGAGGAAGCAAACCCAAACACAGGAAAACTCCAGAGAGAAAACAATCAGGGACAGCTAATCATCTCTCATCAAAAGATTCCCCCAGGCACGAACAAGTCACACCAAAAAACTGCCAGGCCATCAAATGCTAATCAAAGTGGCCAGTTGAAACATTCACACCTAGCTCCAACAGACAAGAGTTCTTTGTTCCACCCTGGACTTTTCACAGACATATAAACTCAATTTTCCTAGTTCCAACAGATCTCTCATACCTCTGAGGATGCTTGCCATAGATGCAGGCAAAACGTCAGGAGAAATGCCTCTAGAACATGGCCATATAGCCCGGAAAAACCTACAACAACCCAGTGATTCCAGCCATGAAAGCCTTCGACAATACATTCAATTCCGAAGGAATCGAAACTTAAGAATCGAAGCCTTCAAACTGTTCAATTTCTTAATGTTTGATGTGGCCCGAGCATGCACATTGGAATACGTGTCGTAAGTGTCAAACATACGAAAAAGATCCGAATTTTGACTACTTCCGATTTATTTTCACATCTCTAAAAACACACATAAAGGATGTCTCTACACAGTGGAATTAATGGTATTTGACGAAGTAATAGCATACTTTCAACATCGACATCTAACAACACAGAAAAAACAAAAAAACAAACAAAAGAAAAATAAAAGAAAAAAAAAAAAAAAACAGGCGATATAATTGGCCATACGCAGCCGAGTGGAGAAACGACAGAGGTCTTGAGGACAGGAATCCGGAGGGTACCAAGGCTTAATGTCTATTTAAAAGCTATTGTTCTCCCTCCCCTGCTATTTTTATGTGCCTATTGGTGGATGGTCTAACCGCCGTCAAATGCACACTCCTGGTAACGTCATCGGAGCTGCCTTCATGGACCTCTTAATATCGCTCTTTTCTTGTACCACTTCAACCCCCTTGCGTTGAAGTAGGACAGGTTTCACC